CTTTACTTATAAATAAAACTCTTATTACTTACTCATCAAATGTCAATTACATTTATTTATTACAAGTTTCTAACTATCTATCTAATCACTAAAACTAATATCGTCCCTTAGGCCAATGCTACTAGCATGATGCAAATGCTTAACTCTACTCAGTCCCTTCGTAAGAGGAGTCCCTCTTCTACGCGATGTCTTATAAAGTGATATTTTCTGTCGATGTGCCTGGATCTGCCATGATCCCTTGGTTCCTTGGTTAAGGCGACCGCACCCTCGTTATCACAGAAAATCTCCATAGGCTCCTTTATATCTGGTACAACTCCAAGGTCTCCAATGAAATTCATTAGCCATATTTCCTCTTCGACGCTTTGCTTGCTGCTATGCACTCTGATTTGCACGTTGAATCAGCTACAGTCTCCTGCTTGGAACATTTCCATGTTACTGCTCCTCCATTTAGGGTAAATACCCAACCTGACTAAGAGCGGAAATTATCTATGTCCGTCTGAAAGTTGGTGTCACTATACCACGTCGCTCTCAAGTCATCACTCCCACCAAGAGTAAGGACCCAGTCCTTAGTCCTTCGTGTGTACTTAAGAATGTTCTTTACTACTATCCAATGAACTCTACCAGTATTCCCTTGATATCGACTAAGCATGCTTAAAGCAAAAGCCACATCAGGGCAAGTACATGTCATAGCATACGTGATCGAGCCAACGACGGAAGCATATGGTACTCGACTCATTTATGCTATTTCGGCATCGCTACTCAGACTCTGAGTCTTACTTAGTTTGGTATTGCTCTGGATAGGCAATTCTCCTTTCTTGGAATTCTCCATGTTGAAATGTTTCAACACCTTGTCCAAGTAGGTATTTTAACTAAGTCTTATTAGTCTTTTACTCCTATTTCTCAATATCCTTATCCGTAGAATGTAAGCAGCTTCCCTAAGGTCCTTCATAGCGAAACATTTCCCAAGCCAGGACTTAACCTCCTACAAGGTTGGAACGTTGTTTCCTATGAGAAGTAGGTCATCCACATACAACACCACACAGCTAACTATACTCCCACTAACTTTGACATATACGCAGGACTCATCCTCGTTTCTCGAAAAAACCAAACTCTTTGACTTTCTCATCGAAATAAAGATTCCATCTGAGAGACGCTCGCTTTAATCCATAAATGGATTTCTCAAGCTTACACACTCTATTTGATTACTTCGCATATATAAAACCCTCTGGATAACTCATGTAAACATCTTCAGCCAACTTTCCAGTAAGAAAGCGGTTTTGACATCCATCTTCCATATTTCATAATCATGAAACGCAGCTATGGCTACCATAACCCTTATAGATTTGATGAGAAGGTCTCTTCATAGTCAACTCCAGGAGTTTGAGTAAATCCCTTCGCAACCAATCGCGCCTTATATGTGTGTACTTTCCTATCCATGTCCATATTCTTCTTGAAGATCCACTTGCACCCAACCGTCTTACAACCTGCTACATTGTCAACCAAGTTCCAAACTTGATTTTCATACATAGACTGGATCTCGTTGTCCATTGCCTCTTTCCAATTTGCAGACTCTTGGCCCGCCATGGCTTCCTTGTAGTTGTTATCTTCATCCAAATTTACCAGTGTACTATCACTGATAAATGTATCACCTTCACTTGTTATATGAAAACCATACAACACAGGTGGAACACTAACTCTACTGGAAAGTCTTAGAGGTAAGAACTAGTCAACTGGTTCAACAGGAGTGTCATCCTCAGGTTGAGCGCTAGTGTTAGAGGTTTCTTCATTTCTTGACTCTTGAAGCTCTTCATGGTCAATTTGCCTCCCATTATCCTCTTGGTATATGAGTTCTCTTTCACGAAAGACACCCCCTCGTGCTACGAAGACCATGTTCTCACTAGGTCTATAGAACAAATATCCAAAGGATTTATGTGGGTAGCCGATGAAAATACAACACTCACTACGAGGTTCGAGCTTGTCGTGAGTCTCTCGTCCTATGAAAGCCTCGCAACCCCAAACCTTGATATGTGCTAACGAGGGAACCTTCCCTGTCCACATCTCATGAGGTGTTTTAACAACCTTCTTAGTTGGGACTAGATTAAGGATATGGGCGGTAGTCTTTAAGGCACACCCCCAAAATGAGATAGGTAACGAAGCTCGACTCATCATGGAACGAACCATGTCTAACAAGCTTCGATTACGCCTCTCAGCCACACCATTAAGTTGTGGTGTCCTAGGTGGCGTCAATTGTGAAACAATTCCACATTCCTTAAGATATTCTTGGAACTCGATACTAAGATACTCACCACATCTATCAGATCTGAGCATCTTTATCTTCCTGCCCAATTGATTCTCTACTTCTTGTTTAAACTCTTTGAACTTTTCAAAGGTTTCTGACTTATGATTGATTAAGTGGATATACCCATATCTACTAAAATCATCAGTAAAAGTCACGTAGAAGCGATTTGCATCCCTTGTGGTGATCTGAAGGGTCCACATACATCTGTATGTGTGAGATCCAACAAACCCTCACCTCTTTCACAAGAACTAGTGAAAGGTGACTTGGTCATCTTTCCAAGCAAACAAGACTCGCACGTATCAACCGACCTAAGGTCAAATGACTCCAACACTCCATCCTTTTGGAGTTGGGCTATGCGCTTCTTATTGTCATGTCCAAGACGATAATGCCACAAGCACGCTTTGTCTAGATCATTAGACGAATCAATGTGTAACACATCATTTCCTAAGTTATCAACAACCATCACAGTTTCATACACTCCATTACAAGGCAATGCTTCAAAATAAAGACTACTATTGTAGAAAGCATTAATAGAACCAATTTCATTATTAAACGAAAATCTAAAACCTTGTCTGTACAAACAATGAAAGGAAATAATATTTCTCGTCATCTCTGACAAGTAGCAACAATTATTCAATTCTAACCCTAAACCATTACTAAGCACTAAAAAATAAACTCCAATCTTGGTGACAGGTGACGCTTTCCTATTTCGCATGATCAGGTTCATCTTCCCATGTTCTACATCCCTACTTCTTCTTAGACCCTGCAAAATAACAACAAATGTGAAAACGACATCCTGTATCAAGGACCCATGAACTAGCATGTGATGAGTTTTTAGATTGGATAGTGTAACTACCTGCGAAGGTGGTCTTTATCTTCCCATCCTTAATGTTCTGCAAGTATTTAGGGCAGCTTCGTTTCTAATGCCCTTTTTCATGACAATGGAAGCACTCTGCTTCCATTGGATTGGATGAGGGAGTAGCGGAACCACCTTTGGACCCACTTGATGAGGATCCATCATGAGACTTTCCCATGTGATTGTTTGAAGGAGATTTCCTTTTCTTCCATTTCCTATGTGTAACACTAGACAAAATAGGTCAATGGACAATCACATGTGATTATGCCAATCATGTAATGTGATTTTGTTAAACTAGTAATGTGATAAGAGTGATATGTAGCCATGATAAATTCTAATACAAATATGAACTTTCTTTATGATACAACTCAAAGTATACGTCCATACCATTCCAAAGATACAAAGAACGTCTGAATCTGACTTCGCATGAAGAAGTTATGATAAACCGAACACTATAAATCTCTATAATAAGAGGAATTTAAAATAGACTTAGAATTAGATATTAGAGTCTAAAAGAGAGTTGTAGTACTTGTAAATACCTACGCGTGCATATAAATAACGTCAAAAACGGAGTTCGTATGTGAAAGTACGACCTTCCGAAGATTCAGCTGTCAGAAACCCTAATCTGATTGAGCTCACGACGTGAGCACAAAAACTCACGACGTGAGGAGTTATTTGGCCACATCTCGGAATCTAGAAGTTGTGTGATGAGGCTACGAGGGTAAAAGATCCAAACTCACGACGTGAGCAAGGATATCTCACGACGTGAGGAGTCACATGGCCACCTTCCGAAGCTAGGTACACAACTGGCAAGTCTACGGGGATAAGATCCAAACTCACGACGTGAGACTATATGGATCACGACGTGAGGGTCCAAAATCCTTCCTATAAATAGCAGGTCCGACTTCAGCTATTCCTACACCTAAACTTCTTTCCTTTCTCTCATTTGCTGAAGCCCTCTTGCATCCTGAGCCCCGACGACCTTGTACGCTGACCGTTTCTGCTTAGATTACATAAAATCACGCTACTAGGGTGAGTTTCACGGCCCCACTTTCTAATATTTTGGGGGAAAACGCATGCTAAATATTGTATATACATTACTATTATGTCTATATGATAGTATATAGTTATAATAACCGGGGTACAGTTGTTCTAAATATAATATTTTGAATATATACAACTATTATCAACTTGTCAGCATGTTATCATACTAATGTAGATCTTGAGTTATACTTAGGATTCTATATATATGTTGTGTGCGATATAGTTCCGAAGTTATATTCGGAAGTTCTATCTGTTAATTTATAAAGTATGTTGCTATTATTGGTTTTATGTCAAGATAAAACTTGGTATGTTGTATGTTGTTATTGTTAGTTTTATGACAAGATAAAACTTGGTATGTTATATGTTGTTGTTGTTATTGGTATTATGTCAAGATAAATCTTGGTTTTACTTCAAGTTATAGCTGTTATATTGCCTAAATATTATGAGGTTAGGAGTAATGTTTAAAAGCATAGTCTAGTAACTTAGGGTTTTAGACATGGAAATGCTTTTGTTGTTAGAGCTATAGGAAGTCGTCAAAGTCTACATGAGTAAATGTATTCATCAACTAAGATTGGGAATCTTAGCGGAAATCCTCTGAACTGTAACCGTTAATCCCGTGTGAGCGAGGAAGTCGTGTATAATTAGTATACGGGTTGACCACCCCACTTGTGACTGTTAGCTACAGTCAACCAAAAGCGAGTGATGAACTATCCTTTTACTTGTTATTGTTCCGGCGTCGATGAAGCGTACGGTGTTGTTTCTCATGGTAAATCATGAGTGTGTTGTTTCTCATGGTAAATCATGAGTGTGTTTTATCAGAGGTATTATGTCATTGCAGCGGTTACAGGCTCATGGTAGCAAATTGTTAGAGACATTATACTTTGTCATATACAAGTATTAATGTTAAGTATAAGTTTCCCGCTACTTATACCTTAGGCTCAAGCAATGTTTAGGTATAACACTTAATTGATAAGTGAGCAAGAAGAGGAGGTACCACCTGAGAATCGGACTATCTTCCTCACCTTTTCCAAAGGGTATCCTATTTCTGAAAATGAAGTTAAACTGTACTTCACTAGGTATATATATACATAAATTTCTCATCAATTCTAGAATTATGTATTTTATGTTTTCTAATAACTCTTTGGGTTCATTTCAACAGAATCTTTGGGGATTTCATTGAGTCCATATACATGCAACCTGTTGCTGGAGAGAATCAACCCCTTTTTGCTCGAATTGTGGCTCGCTCTCCTTCTATGGTTAGGGCTGTAGTGGAGAGAGATGGAGCTGATGGAAGATCTAAATACTATATCAATGGGAAGCATGTATGGGCTCGAAAATTTGTGAGGAGACCACCACCTAAGGACACTGCAGAAGGTGCTGTAACATCGGAATGAAGTTAAGTAGAGCAATACATGTTGCAACAGTTGGTTCCAGGATGTATCGACGGTCTTGATCATTTAGTGTAAATTATATTCAAGATGATTCATAGATAAATTAGAATTAAGATCAATGTTGCCTGGATCTTTTCCTCTTATCATGTATTTGCTAGAAAATTTAGAAAAGCAAACATGTTTTTGTTGTTCACTCAATAATATATATGTTGTAGTTTGCCAAACAACACAAATTTTATTTTCACAAAACAAATTTATTATTTTATTTTCACAATTATATACTTATTAATATAATAGAAATCTCTGATAAAATCATGATATTTTGGATCAGATTATGGTTTAATTTCAATATTTATTTTTTGAACTGAAAAATCTCAACTATCTAATTTTATATGATAATCTGTCATTTTCTGTTGACAAAAAAATATGGTCATTTTCTTTAATTTGATCAAAATATAAAATATTCATGATTTTTCTGTTAAAAAAATATAAATTGGAATTAAACCATCCAAAATATTGAAATTTATCAAAGATTTCCCTTAGTTTATTTTGTAAAATATTTTAGAAAATGTTAAAACAAATTTTCTTAATATTAATTGTGTATATACAAAGATATTTGATTGAAACAATTAAGAGAAGTACACAAATATACTATTCGATTATATATATATATATATATATATATATATATATATATATATATATATATATAATATATATATATTAAGAGAAGTACAAAAATATACTATTCGATTGTCATATACAACTATTATACCTAATATACATACTAAATGTTGGAGAGTCAAAATGATACTTTAAAAACTATACTTTTGAACGTGGAAAATGTATTATTTTATGGAGTCAAAACATGTGGACTCACCAACTTTATGTTGACGTATTTTAAAATGCATGTGTCTTCGGGAACTTGAAAAGCTGGTATGTATTCGAACAAAAGAAGTTTTACTATTACCTTTCTGTTGATTAAGAAGTATGCCATAGTCGGATATTATGTAATAGGTTCTAGAAAAACAGTTATGTAACTTTCAATTATCAATAAAGGTATGTATTTTCTTTAGTACTGTTCAATGTATGTTATATAACTGTGATACGAAGAATGACGTTACACCACCCAGTGTTTCCGCCGATGGCTGGGGGTGTGACAGAAATTGGTATCAGAGCTATTAACTATAGTGAACTAGTACTTTCTTAGGAAAGCACGTCTATAGTTTAGGGCTTACTCTATTAGGTTTAGGTATATCCCTTAGCCTACAATAAAAAGTATTATTAATTATTCTACTGAAGGACTACTTACGGGAGCGGTGACAAGGATAGACATGTCGTTTTGGGTTGTTGGATTCAAGAACGTCTATATGCTAAAATGATCCTGCCCTTTCGACTGTCCTGACTGGCCGGAGCCTTATCTGATAGACCTGAAGTAACAAACAATAGTTAAAGCGTGAATACAATAAATAAGAGTATAGAGTCATATATAAAGACTCAGACCCGCAATGAGAATACACCTTAATAACCGAAATGTTTTTGATCTCAAGGATTTAGATCAAATATTCCAACTAAATTTTATATGTGCATATATCCTATCACAATTAGGTGTAGGTGCGCAACTACATTTTATTATGATCAGATCATATGAACTATTTAATTTGGGAGTAATATTTGATAGACTAAAACTCTTGGTGATCCAAAATGTATAGGAATTCGACATGCCACATTCATGAGAATGGATAATCATCGAGGATACGGATGAATAAGAGGAAGTTTCATTCCCAACGATGGTAGGCGATCCTTACTACCCTATAAATCCAACCACCTTTCATCCAATACCTTCTGACGATGGATCACCTTTACCCTCAACGAATGGGAAGAGAGTGAACCAATGGAAGAAAGCGAATCAATGGAGAAGACAGAATCGGTGGCATCATCTTTACCACCACTGAACACTCTTTACCGTAGAGTTCCAGGAGGAGCAAAAATGAAACGCACGGCACGTAAATCCATACCGATATGGCAAAATATTAAGAAGAATCAGAAGGCGACATCTTCAGGAAGTCATAGAGTTCAAGATGAACCTGCACGGATCGCACAAACTGTTGATAGGTGGGTGGCGGAAGAAAGAGCTGCTAAGATGTATGAGACTGGTCAATCATCTCGACCACATCTCCCACATTCTTCTGAAGTTAACACGTTATCTCAATTGTTTGAGAAAAGTGTGAAAATTGAAGATAAAATCGAAATTGTCGAAGGAAGGGCTACTCATCTCTCCAGAAGAGTACGAAGGCTAGAAGGACAAAGGACGCGAGATCAGGAATTGGTGATGGATGTCCATCATCGTATAAATTTCGCTTATAACGACATGATTACTCACGATGCAAGGATTGCAGAGTTAGTGCTCTACAATCAAACCTCAAGAAATGAAGAACTCACGGGAAGTCTTGAGCAGACTACTCAAGCACTTGAGAAGCAAGTGGTTAATGTCACTAACGTGCTAGGTCATCACTTAGGTTTCTGGTAGATAAGTTAAAACTAATGGTTGTGTAAATAGAGAAATCAGACTACTTAAGGCAAGAAGAGTAAAGTTTATAGCAAGGATGTAGAAAACCTTGCAAATTTTGTAATGTTTATAGAAACTTTTCTCTTATAAGCCTAAAATAAACTGATGTAACCACCGGTAATAATATGAAGCATATACTACGGTAATCATTGTGTTATCCATTACGTTTTACACTTTGAAGAATAATTAAAGTATTTAGTACTCATGTAGTAAATGACTAATTCTTCATAAAACTTATAAAATTCTTATTATTTATAATTGGAACTAAAACAAAATGCCTAGAAGGAGTAGTGCTCGGCTAAGCCCTAACCGACGATCAGCACCACAACAACAACCACCAGAACCAAACCCCCCAATAAGTACAACACAACTTGAAGAAATCATAGCTCAAAGAATTGTTGCGGCTCTATCTAATGTCACAAGAGATGGAGTTAGAAATGAAGGCCATGTAGGGACCGCTAGAACGTGTACCTACAAAGATTTTATGAATTGCAGGCCAAAGAGCATTCATGGAAATGAAGGGGTTGTTAATTTGACTAGGTGGATAGAAAAGCAGCGTTCGTATTTCAAATAAGCTTCTGTCCAGATGATTGTAAAGTACGATTTGCAGCATGTACTTTCGCTGATGCAGCACTTACATGGTGGAACAGCCATGTGAATACAATGGGAATTGATACTACAAATTCCATGAAATGGGAAGAGCTAAAAATGATGCTAGTAGAAGAGTATTGTCCTAGGGAGGAGATACATAAACCGGAACAAGAATTTTGGACCCTAACCATGAAGGGTTCAGAGATAAAAGCTTATACCGCTAGATTTAATGATCTTGCAGTAATGTGTCCAGCACTTGTAACCAACTGAATATAAGAAAATTGAGCGATATATCTAGGGTTTAGCATGACAAATTAAAGGCATGGTGATCGCATCAAAGCCTACGACCTATGACAACACCAAAAGAATAGCTCATCAGCTAACCCTCACAGAGATCCAAGGAACAGAAGTGGTCTCAAAGGCTGAGTCTCCCAAATCTGGAACAAACAAGCGCAAGTTTAATAGGAAGAATCACAAACAATCATCAGAGAAAAGACAAGAAGTGGCAACCAATTATGCAGCCACGACAGCAGTACCCACACAACCAAAATCTTCATAGTGCAATCAGTGCAACCGTCATCATCTAGGTGACTGTTTTGTCTGCATGAAGTGCAAGAAAAAGGAGCATACTGCTAGTTACTGCAGGAGCACAACACCTGCAACAGTCGATCAGCAAACAAATACTGGAACAGGCCGTGGTGAAGGAAGAAAGTGCTATGAGTGTGGGGAGGTTGGACACATCAAGAAAGAATGTCCAAAGTTAAGGAGTCAAGGAGGCATAGGACGTGGCAGGGTGTTTGTGATCGGAAGCAGAGAGGCTATGCAGGACCCTTTGGTCGTATCTGGTACGTTTCTCATAGATAAATTATATGCTACTATACTCTTCGACTCAGGAGCAGATAGAAGTTTTATAACTCCGACGTTTAGAAAATTGTTAAATCATAAGTCTAGCAAATTAAAAGAAATCTACGAAGTAAAAATCGCTAACGGTCAAACTGAGAAAACAGATGAAATCCTAGAAAACTGTCTGTTAACTCTTAATAACTACCCTTTTCACGTCAACCTCATTCCAATGCGTATCGGTAGTTTTGATGTCATAATTGGCATGGATTGGTTATCTTCACACCGTGCCGAAATTCTATGTCATGAGAAAGCCATACGAATACCCTTACCAAACGGCGAAGCCCTGATTATCTATGGTGATAAATCTGGGAAGAACCTCAAAGTCATCTCTTGTACTAAGACCCTGAAATATCTATATAAGAAATATAGCGCATACTTAGCCCACATTGTAGGTAAGAAGAGAAAGACAAAAGAAATCAAGGACATACCTCAAGTATGTGATTTCCCTGACGTGCTTCCTGAAGATCTACCTGGAATACCTCCTGTCCGACAAGTCGAGTTTCGAATCGACTTAATTCCAGGAGCAGCTGCAGTAGCGAAATCTCCTTATCGGTTGGCTCCATTCGAAATGCAAGAATTGTCTAGCCAACTACAAGAACTTCTTGACAAAGGCTTTATCCGACCAAGTTTTTCACCTTGGGGAGCACCAATCTTGTTTGTCAAGAAGAAGGATGGATCCTTTCGAATGTGTATTGATTATCGGGAGCTGAATAAGCTAACGATCAAGAATCGTTATCCGCTACCAAGAATTGATGATCTATTCGATCAACTGCAAGGATCCAGCTACTACTCAAAGATAAATCTTAGATCAGGATACCATCAACTCAGAGTACAAGAAGACGACATTCCAAAAAGAACATTTAGAACCCGTTATGGTCATTATGAGTTCTTAGTTATGTCTTTTGGATTGACCAATGCCCCAGCAGTGTTTATGGATCTC